CTGGCGGTCTACCCGCTCGTCTTCAGTTCTCAGCTCTAGCTGTGAGGCTGAGATCTACGCCGGAGCCATGGCTGCTCAGGAGCTACGCTGGCTCACCTACTTGCTGACCGACTTGGGAGAGCAGCCTCGTTCGCCTCCAGTCCTGTACATAGACAACAAGGCCATGATAGCCTTGTGTCAGGAGCACAGACTGGAGCACAAAACGAAGCACATCGCTCTGCGATACTTCCTTGCTCGAGAGTTGCAGCAGCGTGGTCAGCTTCGTCTAGCGTACGTGGCCACTCGGGCCAACATTGCTGATGTCTTCACCAAGGCACTTCCGCCTGGTGACCATCAGCGCTTTGTTACTGTGTTAGGCCTTGTGCCTACTTTGCCTCACTTACTTACTGCTTGACTCTGCCTGTACTGTGATCTATCTATATACCTGCATGCTTGCACTTGTTAGGGTATGATCACTGTATTGTTTGTTCTCTTTATATAACTCTGCATGTGAACTGGCCTTGTGGCCTTTTGCTTGTGCTCGGACTGTGTGGTGACTTTGTGATCCACCCTGAGCTTGCTTTGCTTTGCTTCTTATCTTGACTGGTCTTGTGACCATTGCTTGTTCTGGCTATCCCCCACTTCGCCTATGGGGGTGTGTCAAACATATATGCTTAGTTATATCTAGGCTTAGTTTATGTGTTTATAGTTGTCTAGGCTATAGTGGGTTTAGCCTTAGGGGGTACATATTTCTCTAGACATTCTACTTGTACCCCTTCCCTTTTCCTAGTCAATCATTCTCGCCCACTATTCTCACAATAAGTACTCTGTAACATTTGCAAAGTGTGTAGAAACCTCCCAGGGGCTAGATTCATTGAAACAGAATGACCTATGTGGTGATGCATGCAGCACCCCCCACTTGCCACGTGAGGGATGCAGCAAAGCTGCCACTGCTGGCAACATCCCTCCGTGCTGGCAGCATCTATTGATGCTGCCAGCGTCGTTTTGCTGCCAGCAGCGCATGGATGCTTCCAGAATGCTGCCGGCAGCACGATGGCAGCGTGAGGGCTGTCCTCTAGGAGGAGATTTCTCGTAGAGGTGCGGCTCGGCACCTTTGGAAGGGGCACTCTGGCTGGGGGGGGTATTCGGGCTTGAGCTTCATTTGGTGCTCAAGGAGGTTGAGATCTCAACTCAACCTTTGCTCTCGGCAGGCTTAACCATGCGCAGCAAAGTCCCCGTAGGCACGACCTCACCTCGCCCTCACGTGCAGGTGAATAACTACGGGCGAATTAACTCGCCCGGTTATGACATTCGTGTAGCCATGGCGAAGAATATGCGCAAGGCGGGAAGATCTACCGCCGCCTCCGATGCGAGCTGTGACGGCGATGACGGCGACGAAGAACACGGCGACGATGGCGACGAAGAACACGGTGACGACGGCAAGGAGGATTGGTCGGAGAACGGCCACGACGACAGCGCTTCGGGCAATGAAATAGCTCCTGCCGACATCGACGAGGACGACTGGTGGAATCGGCCGGTTGGGAGTGACGACGAAGTGGAAGAGTGGCGGGCTGGTGATTCGGACAAAGACGAGGGTGCCGATGCTGATGGTGAGCACGCGGAGGCAGCGGCGCATGCAACGGGAGCGACGGTGGATGCGAATGCGGAGGCTGACGACGAGGTGGATGCGGAGGCGAGGACGGAAGAGGAGGCGGAAGCGGATGCCGATGCTTTTGCGCCCGCGGATGTGGCCGCAATTGCGGATGCGGATGCGGATGCTGTGGCAGAGGCGGATACAGATGCTGCGGAGGGAGGTGCTGATGCTGTCTTATTTGACGGTGAAAACTCCGTTGACGACCCGTGGAACATCACGGGTGACGACGATATTCCGCTTCTGAAGCGAAGGCTGCGTCATCGCCTACAGTCCAAGCCGAAGCGCGCCCGCGTGGTGCTCTTTGATGACGACAGTCCGGGGGAGGAGCGTCAACCGCGCATCACTGCTGCAGAAAAGGGGAAAACCAAGGTCGCGGAAGCCCTTGCTAAGGCCACCGTTCGTCGCCGCACAAGCAACAAGAAGCGGAAGAACGACGGCGACCCCGGATCCAGCACAGGTGCTGCTAAGCAGAAGAAGAAGAAAACGCCAAACAAGGACGACATCATGGTCAACGAGGCGCTCGGCATCGCCGATGACTACGCGGAGGCTACAGGCCCGATTCCTTCATTCCCTGAGAAGGCGAAGCCGAAAGACCCCACCCTCCATAAACCGAACTCCCGTCCACCTTCCCCTCGCAGCAAGGACAGTAAGAAAAGGCGACGCGGATGGACCGTACGCGAAAAGCTCAAGTGGGCGCGCCGCTACGTAGAGCTCGGCTCCTTGAAGAAGACATCCTTGGAATCTACCGCATCCATCGCCTGCATCAGACGCTGGAGTGCGGAGGCTATTGCGGGCGTCTACAAGGGAGCGGCAAACTGCCGCAAGCGAATGCACGGGGGGGGGCGCCACGCACACTACCCCGACATGGAGGCGGCGTTGTACCGCTACGTCTGCCTGCAGCGCGCTAATGGGGTGGCGATCTCGGTGAAAGACACCCAGAAGTGGAGCCGCGAGTGGATGAAGAAACACCACCCCGACAAGAACTGGAACGCGAGCTCTCACTGGAGCCAGCGTTGCTGTGACTGCTGGAACCTGGTCATGCGTGTGAAGACCAAGGTCGGCCAACGGTTGTCGGCTGGTGAGTGGTAAAGGCCTTGAATTTGCGCTCGATGCTTGACTGCATGTTCCTCGCCCTTTGTTTCTAACCATCCCCTCCTATCGTGGCATGTGTTCCTTTTGCAGAGTGCATTAAGGACTGCGAGTCATTCTGGAAGTTCGTGCGCATCAACAGGGCGCGGCACAACATCGACTTGGCCCGCATCATCAACGCGGACCAGACGCCCCTCTTTGTTGAGATGCCGGCCGAGAGGACGATCGAGCACCGTGGCGCGCGCTCGGTCCCAATCCGCACTGCAGGATGCGAGAAGATGCGGCTCACGGTGATGCTCGCGTGCACCACATCCGGGGAGAAGCTGCGCCCGTGGGTTTGGTTCAAGCTGAAGAACGTGCCCAACTGTGAGATTCCGGAAGGTAAGCTCAAGGAATTTGGGAGCCGTAAGCTTGATGAGCTTGCCCTCCTTGGCTGACGCCCGTCTATCCCCTATGTGCCTGGCAGGAATCGTATGCCAAGCACAGGACAACGGCTGGATGGACGAGAGTGCTGTGCAAACCTGGCTGACCAAGGAGGTGCTGCTCCATCTGAACCCCCAGCGCGGCCAGAACGCGAGGCGTGCGATGCTGGTGTTGGACTCCTACCGCGGCCACATCACTCAGACCATGCTTCAAGCTTACCGCACGCACAGCATCACCCCTGCAGTGATCCCAAGGGGTTGCACGAGCCAGATTCAACCCCTTGACGTCCCCATCAACCGGTGCTTCAAGGCTGCTGTGCGAGCGCATTACGCCAGGTGGTTCATGCGTGAAGGGATTCACCTGAAGACGAAGGCGGGTGAGTAGCCTTTTGAATTAAACTTCTGCGCTGTTTTCTTTCCATGACTCTAACGGCTCGCTACCCCTGCCTCTGTCCCATCCGCATGGAACCTGCGGCGGCCTCCGCACCCCGTGGTGCTGCAGTGGATCGCGGAGGCGTGGGATCAAGTCCCCAAGAAGGTCATCATTGACGCGTTCCGCCACTGTGGGATTTCAAGCAAGCTGGACGGGACGGAGAACCACCTGGTGATGTCTCACCTGCGGCCAGGAGCACCACCGATGTCTCCAAGGATATGTGCCTCGGGGGAACCACGGGCGACAATACGCGCCTGCTTGGGCAGGAGGAGGAGATGCAGGCGGAGGGCGTGAGGGAGGTGGCAGTGGCAACCGGCCTGGATGTGTTGTACCAGGAGACCCCCAACTACCGCGGAGCGGTGGCTGAGGCTGACTGCATGATCGAGCCTAGGGAGACGGCTAGGCATGCCTGCCGAGTGCCAGACCTGGGTGTTAGAGAGCCTGCTGTTAGTGCACGCGAGGAGGCCGTGACTGAGGGGGGCTAGGTAGAAGTAGAGATTCATAGATGTATGCATATACCCCCCTAAAGTAACCAATGATCGTTTAGAAGAAACCCCCCCGGTTTATAAGAAAACCCCTAAACCCCTGCTCTGATTATAGGACATATATGTCTTATCTCGTACACACAAATAGGTGTCTTATAATGAGGCTAGCCTGTTTATAAGAGACACCCAGATAATAGACAACCCCTCTCTACTATTCAACACTGTCTACTATCCGGGCGATGACGGTACACGTACTGTACATTGTTATACGAGAGTTTTTCCGTGGTTATGTTTGTATAAAGTATCGGAACTGTGACATGTGCCCTCTGCTTTTTGTAGAATGCGTATAGGGTGTGACAAACCAGTCCCCAGCCATTCTATTCTTACGTGTGTAGGGTGTCTCTGAATTACGCACAGTGACAGTGCATCCGTGGTGCTCGAAAATGCACTGTATGTGCCGTATACAGCATGCCTCAAGAGCCATCTGAGGCGGCCAAAGAGGGAATATGGAGAGAGTATTGACAGCAATGGACATGCCGAAGCTGCTAGTGCTGCCACTCCTGGTGATGCTGCTAAGCTAATGCTGCTGCCGATACTGGTGGGGAAGCTGCTGATGCTGCTGCTGCTCAAGATGATTCTGCTGCTGCAGCAGCTGCTGACGCTGCCTCTAGTGTTTGTGTCGATGCTGCTGGTGGCACCGCTAAAAGGTTCTAGTTGCATTTGTACATTTTGTTGGAAGTGTACAACGCTTGTTGACCCGTCAAGCTGTTATGTAATGTTGCTGTGACCGAGTGCAACCAATTCGGCAGTTGATTGTTTGAACAAGTACCATATGATGCTGTTAGAGCCCGAATTACAGTACACTGAATGGTATAACCTAGACCATAGACCCGGAAAAGCTCTTGAGAATCAACATTCGTACACACATCAGCATCCACTCAGGAGAAGAGGGCAAGAACGGAGCAAAGCAGAGCCGTAAGCATAGCTGCAAGTGCACTTTTAGCTGCTGATGCTGCTGCTGCTGCTGGGGCAGCCTTGACGGTGGTGTCAGCAGGGGAAACAACAACAATGGGAGTGGCAGGGGAAGCAGCAGCAGAGGGATGGAGAGAGGCCGCGGCGGCGGATTGCAGTGGGCCAGATTGCGGTGCGGCGGGTTGCGGCAGTGTTAATTGCGGTGCGGCGGGTTGTGCTGGTTGCAGCGGTGCAGAGATGGTGGCAAGTGGAAAGGCTGATAGCGATGCCTTGGTCCTGACGTGGGTTGTGGGGTGGGGTAATGGGGGGATCGGGGGAAGGAGAGGGAACGAGGGGAATGAGGGGGAGAGAGCGCTGGGTTGGAGTGGTGCAGAGATGGTGGCAAGTGGAAAGGCTGATAGCGATGCCTTGGTCCTACCGAGGGTTGTGGGGTGGGGTAATGGGGGGATCGGGGGAAGGAGAGGGAACGAGGGGAATGAGGGGGAGAGAGCGCTGGGTTTGAGTGGTGCAGAGATGGTGGCAAGTGGAAAGGCTGATAGCGATGCCTTGGTCCTGCCGTGGGTTGTGGGGTAGGGTGATGGGGGAAAAGGAAGGACGAGGAAGAGGGGGAAGAGGGGGAAGAGGGGGGAGAGGGGGAAGAGGGGGGAGAGGGGGAGGGATGAAGGGGAATGTTTACCAAAAACGACTTGGTCTAACCGTGGGTTGAAGGGTGGGGTGGGGAGGGGGAAATGGGGAAGGAGCGGGAAGGAGTGGAAAGGAGGGGAAAGGAGGGGGGAGGAGGGGGGAGGAGCGTGAAGGAGGGGAGAAGGGAAGGGGAGGGGGGAGGGGGGAGTCTGAGGGGTGGAAAGGGGTGTGGTGTGGAATGGAGAGGGGTGGAGTGGAGTGGAGTGGGGAGGGGTTGAGAGGAGTAGAGTGAGTGGAGTGGTGGACAATCACAGAGTCGCTTTTGAGAGGTCTCAAGAGTGGAGTGGAGAGGAGAGGCACTCACTGAGCCGGACAGCCGTGGACGACAGAGAGAGGCTGATTGGAGCCGAAGCTGATGCTGCAGGGCTGGGTGGTGGGGATCACTTGGTTGCGGCCCGTCCCACAGATGTAGTGCGTCGAGAGGTTGGGGTTGGTGGGGCGCGTAGAGAGTGTGCCGTTGTCCATTGCCCCACACACGGTGTAGCATGCATGCATCTCTGGTTTCAGCGGGAAGAGCAGGCATGGGGGAGAGAGCGGAAACAGGGGGGGAGGGGAAGAAGGGCTGGGGCTGATGGGGTGCATGGGGAGTGTGGTGGAGTGTGGTGGAGTGTGGTGTTGTGCATATGTAGTGTGGTCCTTCCAAGCATGGAAAGTAGGGTTACCTTGGCCCTGGTGCTGGGCGGAATAGTAGACGAGGTAAGCCACACACATCTCGTCCTCCGCTGATAGACCCCCCACCGTTACCTGCAGGGACGGGCAGAGAGAGAGAAGAGAAAGAAAGGAGAAGGGAGCAGAGAGAGAAAGAAGAAGGGAGCAGAGCGAGAAAGAAGAAGGGAGCAGAGCGATCAGTAGAGTGATGTACGCGTGTGTGTACGATAGGTGAAACATGGGAGTGGCACAGAAAGGGAGTGGCAGCACGGGAGAGGCAGAACGGGAGGGATTGGCAGCAGGGGAGTGATACCTCGGAGCGAGAGGTGGAGTCCCATACGCAGGTGGTGCGGATCTCATCGCCTGGCAGCAGCTCAAACTCTGGTAGCACCGGCAAGGTCTGCTGCGATGCTGCATCGCTGCCACAGAGAAAGGAGAGCGAGGGGGGGGAAGGGGAGGGTAAGGGCTTGCGTCGCATTTTGAGGCGCCTCAAAATACACCTCACTGCACGGGAAGGGGATGGTAAGGGCTTGCGTCGCCTGGCAGCAGCTCGAAGCACTGGCATGGTCTGCTGCGATGCCGCGTCGTTGCCACACATAGAGATGGGTTTAAAGGGGTTTAAGGGGGTTTAACTCCAGCTGTACCGAGGAAGAAGGGAAGAAGGGAGAGAGGGAGGGAGGGAGGGAGGGAGGAAGAAGGGAGGGAGGGAGGGAGGTAGGGAGGGAGGGAGGGAAGGAAGGTTCTAGATAGGGAGAGTAGCAACGGACTGATGCAATGCGAATTCGCTGCAGCGAATGCGTGTTTGGGGGGAGGGGACGGGAGGGTGACAAGAAGGCAGGAAGGCAGGCAGGAAGGCAGGCAGGCAGGGAGACAGGCAGGCAGGCAGGCAGGCAGACAGGCAGGCAGGAAGATAGGCAGGCACGCAGGCAGGCAGGCAGGAAGGTAGGAGGATGGGCAAGTGGGGAGCTCACTAGTAGTCGATGCGGTTGACGGTTGCGACCTTGCTGCCCGCCCTCATGACGTCCGTGTACATCTGCAGAGGAGAGCATGGCGAATGGAGAATGGATAGTTCCAAACAAATGAGGCACGGATTCAACTTTTGAGGCGCCTCAAGAGACCTTGCTGCCGGCCCTGACGACACCCGTGTGCATCTGCTGCAGAGCACGAAGAATGGATAACTCCCAACAAATGAGGCACGGAATCGGTCGCTGAGAATTCTCGAAAACCACCACGGCATGGAGATGAGGTGACATTTGCGTGTCGACTAAAAAGTCACCTCGAAAACAACCCAGGTAGATGGGAGGAGTCATATGTCAGATGGGAGACGGGGGTTCTTCAAACCGTGTGGTGAATTAGCTGAGCGTGATGCTCAAGATTCCCACCCACCTGGCGTCCAATATTGTGTTGGTGCAGGATCGACCCAATGATCTTCACACTCTCGTTCTTGAACACAGCAGCAGTGCACTCCCCCGGGCACGAGTTGGCATGGGTCCACGAGGGCATGCCGGGCGGCACGCGGATGAGCCGGCTGTGGTCCACGAGCCCAACCTTCATGATGTGCGCGTCTTTCAACTGCGGCGCCTCGGGAATCGAGGGCGCCAGCTTGAGGTACACGCCCGAGCTGTCGACTATGTCGGCCCAGCCGTCGGGATTGGTGTAATGCATCTGAGGGGGGGGAGGGGCGGGGAGGAGGGGCGGGACGGGGAGGGGAGGGTGGGAGTGCTTGAGTCTACATATGAGGGATCGTCACAGAGGGTAGGGGAATGAAGGGGGATATAAAAAAGAGACATGTTGGAATCAATGCTCCCCGATACAAAACACGAGTGGGGCGAGCCATTCTGCACCGCACTGTACCGCACTGAACCGCACTGCACCCACCTCAAGCACGAACTTGGTGAAGTAGCCGGGGCCGATGGGGTAGCCGATATTGGGGGGGAGGGTGAAGGGGCGTCCTCCCCACGCCCACACTGCCACGAAGGTGCTGCAGGGGGGCCTGCCCATGCAGTCAAAAACCCTTCCGGTAGGGGGCAGATCGGGGTACTCCTCCCTGTTGGGGCATTGAAGGGAGTGGTGGGAAGGGGTGAAGAGGAGTGAATAGAGGTGAGAGGAGGTGAGTAGCGGTAAGATGAGGCGAAATCCATGTGGTAGTTGCACATAACTGGATCCTGGACTTAGGTAGAGGGTGGAGGAGCAATGATGATGACTGTGTAGTTTGAGGCTGAGGGCAGAACGGAACCAGTGGAATGGAACTACGGCATGCGCGGTGGCATGTGCTCATGCGTGCGTGCGCGGCGGCTTACGGTGAGCAGCCATAGAGGAAGGAGTGGTGGAGGGACGAGACGTGGGTGGTGTTGATGACCGGGCCCCACTCCACTGCATGCCTCTTGCTCTCCAACGGCACGTCCACCACCTGCCATGAGATTCACATGTGAACGGGCGGAGAAGCTTGTGATTTGAGAATGGTCAAACAAAGGAGGCACGTGGGTGGTGTTGACGACCGGACCCCACTCCACTGCGTGCCTCTTGCTCTCCAAATGCATGTCCTCCACCTGCCACGCACGGTACACATGAATGGGCGGCACAAGGTACTCATGAATGGGCGGCACCCACACACACACAGCAAGTTCCGGTGACACGAAAGGAAGGCACGAAACAAAGACAGAAGCCATCATGTCGTCCAGCCATCATGCCGTCCAGCCATCATGCAGCGTGTGCGGTACTAGTCTAGCGGTACCTTGCAGCGGTAGGAGGTATAGTCCGTCGGCACATGATAGCCCGTGACTGTGAAGTTAAGCATCCTCGCCTCCTCCTCACGAGCCTCCGAAGAGGAGACTTCCTTCCCCCCCACGGCCCCTTGCTGCTGCCCGTCCACACGCCCCATCCCTCGAAACGAATCAGAGGCAGTGGCAGCGGTGGAGGGCGGTTCTTGGGGGTCGAGAATGGAGGGGCCGGGGGGAGCAGGGGCGAGCACCAGAGTGCCACCCCCCCGCGTGGAGCCATGATAGCTGACGTCATCCGTGGGCCCAGTCGCCCAGATGACGTTGTGAAGCTTCCCGGAAACTATTGGGCGGTCGTTGCAGTCGTTCGTGTCGAGCAGGCGCCACGCGTGCACGGTGGTCCACATGTCGCCCGTGGATTGGTTCGTGGTCTGGCTGCCGCCCAGCACGTGCCAGTCTTGTTTGCCGTCCAGTACCGGTCCTGACGTGTCGAAAATGAAGCGATCCGTTCCATACACGCGCCTGTCTCTCTCCTCCACCCACGCTACGAACGCGTCTGTTTTTCAGAAATCATAAAAAACGCAGAACGGAGGAAGTTATTGGACCAAAAAAAACACACACCCACACAAAGAACCGTGCGGATGGACCCACACGAAAAACACTCGTAGAGTATAGGCGAAGTCGTACCTGAGCCCACCATGGAGCCAATCTCGGAGAGGCCTATAGCAAGCCATCCCGCCGTTTTGGCCCGAGCCGCCATGCGAATGGTTGCGTCGCTGTCGTTGATGGTCCAGTAGAGCTCGAAGCGCGGATCAAGCAACGCCACGTTGGAGTAGGAGGAGAGCGACTTGGGAAGGGGAATGGCCGCGGTGGCGGCGGCGGAGGCGGAAGGTTGTTCTTAGGATCGTAAACACCTTAGTCGGCAATAGTCTACTTGCTATTGCTTATCGTGTTCTCCACGATCTCACGAATCCAATGATATGCGCAGCTCTGCTTGAAGTTGTCAATACACACTTCAGCAATTTTCAGAATCTCCAAGTTGTCCAATGTTGTGATTTCCAGAATGAGTACAAGCAGATTTATAGTCAAGCAAGACACAAAACGCGTTTCGTAACGTAACTTGTTTCTCAAGCAATGTCGCGCGCGCCTCGTTTCACCCCGAGTCGCACACACAACCGAACCGAATTCACCGAACACTCCTTGAGTCCGAATCTCGAACCTTCTCGAACACGCCTCGAGCTCGAACCACAATTTCCCCCGTCGATCTCATTCTCGATACTTCTCTACTCTTCTCCTCCATTTCTCTAGTATCTTCCCGATCTCTCTCCCGCTTCTCACGCCGTAGCTTCCAATATCCACCGTAGGCCGATTTCCACCGTTTCACCTAGAATCATCCACGTGCTTCCATTTCGCCGTCATTCCGCCGTCGTAGAAGCTTTCGCCATAGGTTCCGTGGTTGGGCGAACCAACCCTAACAATCTCCCCTGTTGTTCGTCAACCACGAACACCACTCGCACTGCTCCCCTGCTCCTCGTAGCCTTCACAGGGTCTAAGTCGGCTTCACGCTCCCCTGCAGCTCCTGCACCTTGAACCTTTGCTTACGTGTCTTGAAGTTGAGCGCCTTGATATCCAAACCTTGAGAGGTTTTCTTGAGACTCTCGCTTCTCCTCGGCATCTCAACACCCAACACCTCTCGGGTCTCGTACCCCTCAACGTGTTCCTCTTTCGTAAGCACTCTACCCTTTGCAGTTGCATTCGCCTTTGATCCCTTCACCATGATGTCCCCATTCACAGCGACTCCCACACACTTCGCATTTACTGCTTCATCTTTAACCACGACCGCTGCTGCAAAAGTGTTGACACCATCTCCATCTCCATCATTCACCGCTGCTGCCTCCATGGTGACTATCTCTTCTTCCTGCTTCACTGCTGCCTCCACACTCGCTCCCGTATCATCCGTGTCCTCGCTCTCATCAACCTTAGTAGACTCAGGATCCTCATAGATCCCATCCTTGTCGTTCATCGCTATCAAGTTCATCTCATAGAACCCGTCACTGAAGTATCCATCGGCATACTTCTCCCACTCAGGACCAAACACTGTAACCTCGCCTTTGTCATAAAATATATTGCACCCCAAGTCATCAAGCTGTGACTGACTCATCAAATTCACCTTCAAATCCTCAACCAAGAGCACATTCTCCAGTTTCACCTCTCCATACGGACTTTGCAGCACCACGTCACCCTCTCCTGTCACTGGTAACTTCCCACTGTTACCTTGCAGTACATAACGCTCACTCGACTCCCTCACGTTCTCCATCCAATCTGACCTGAATGTCATGTGACGCGTGCATCCGCTGTCCATGAACCATGCCGTCTTCTCACGTCCGTCCGTCTGACGAACATCCTTCGGTAAACGCACCACGTTCGCACGATGCGCTCCTCCCAAAATCACATCCTCCTTTTCGGCTTCCGCTACATTCGCCTTACCCGCCACAATCCTCTGCTGCGACGGACCCTTGTAGCTCCTGCTGTTCGGATTGGAGTAGCACTCTGCGGCACGATGCCCATAGCGCCCACAATAATTGCACTTGCCGCCAAAACCTCGTTTCTGTTGCCACTCTGCTCCCCCATTTTCTCCTTTATCGTTCTCCACCGCTTTGCCCTTGTAGTTACTGCTTCGCGGATTTTCGTAGCAGTTTATCGCCTTATGCCCCCTCTTTCCACACTGGTAGCACGCTCCAAACGCCTTCGTTGCATTCACCAAAGCCGGCCTCTCCTCGTCGAAATCCGTAGCTGCTGCTGCCGCTTTCTTTTTCCTCATCTCCTTCACCGTCTCAAGCGATTGCAGAATCTCCTGCAGCTTCGTCAAACTCTCCGGCGGTTGGTACGTAAACATACCGATGTCGGATTCCCACTCCTTAGGAAGGCCTTGGATGATATAGTCAATCATCTCGTGCTCCGTCTCCGCGGCTCCCATCACCCGCAAGTCGTCGTTGTAGTTTTTCGCCCTGTTGATGTAGGTGATGATTTTCTCGCCTTTCTCCATGCTCAGCATCAGCAGTTGCTTCCGAATCGCCTTCTTGTTGACATCGTTCGTACCCATGTACGTGGACTCCAGATACTCCCACGCTTTCTGTGCAGAGTTCAGCTCCTCTGCAAACTGGTCCAAATCCACCGCGATTCCATCGGCAACTAAGTGACAAAGCTGAAAGAACGCTTGCTTACTTTGCTTTTTGAACGCCGCTATTTTCTCCTTCGTATCCGTCGTGGAAGGCGCAACTCCCTCCTTCGTCTCCTCGTCGGGACTGTAGTACGGCAAGAGGTCCACCTCCTCTGCCCTCCGAATGAACTTCTTTCGCCACACATTGTAGTTGCTCCCGTTGAAGCGCTGGGCTTCACTGAGCCCGATCGTCGGTTTCGCCACCAATCGGCCACTCGCAAGGGCCTCGAGAAGAGCCTTCAACTGCGGGTCTCCAAGACTCACACTGGAACCCGAACTCGCCTCGTCTCCCATGGCGTAGGCGTGAACGACTCCTCTTCTCCACTAATTTCACTTAGCGCACCAAGTGAATTCACCGCGATCGACGCGCCCGTTCGCCAAGCTCTGATACCAGTTCTTAGGATCGTAAACACCTTAGTCGGCAATAGTCTACTTGCTATTGCTTATCGTGTTCTCCACGATCTCACGAATCCAATGATATGCGCAGCTCTGCTTGAAGTTGTCAATACACACTTCAGCAATTTTCAGAATCTCCAAGTTGTCCAATGTTGTGATTTCCAGAATGAGTACAAGCAGATTTATAGTCAAGCAAGACACAAAACGCGTTTCGTAACGTAACTTGTTTCTCAAGCAATGTCGCGCGCGCCTCGTTTCACCCCGAGTCGCACACACAACCGAACCGAATTCACCGAACACTCCTTGAGTCCGAATCTCGAACCTTCTCGAACACGCCTCGAGCTCGAACCACAATTTCCCCCGTCGATCTCATTCTCGATACTTCTCTACTCCTCCATTTCTCTAGTATCTTCCCGATCTCTCTCCCGCTTCTCACGCCGTAGCTTCCAATATCCACCGTAGGCCGATTTCCACCGTTTCACCTAGAATCATCCACGTGCTTCCATTTCGCCGTCATTCCGCCGTCGTAGAAGCTTTCGCCATAGGTTCCGTGGTTGGGCGAACCAACCCTAACAGTTGTGTGAAGTGGTTGGAAATGAGAGCGGCGAGAAGGAGAATGCGGCACGCGGCCGCAGGGGGGCGCGGAACGAGCGCCATTATCACCATGAATGGCTGGAGGAGGATTCAAATCGGGTTTTTACTCACGATCGCAATTGTGGTTGATGTCAAGTCGAAGCAAATTGAGAGGGCTAAATACTACTACTACTACTAGGTCTAGTAGTATTGACTAGTAGTGGTAGTGGGACTGTCTGGAGGTAGCAGTAGTATGCCGAGCGTGGTTTGAGCGGACGGGCCCCGTCCACACAAACGGACGAGCGTGGTTTGTGTGAACGGGAGGAGCGGGGGCGTGAGGGTCGGGCGTTCCCCGGCGGAGGGGTAGCAGTATGCCTGAGCGTGGTTTGCGTGAACGGGAAGGCCAGGGGCGTGAGGGCCACCCACAAACGGACTGTCGACAGCTGATTCGGCCTACTGCGACTTGGACTTGAGACCGTGACGGCTCGATGCCGTGGCACGTGCTCGAACCTTGAGGAATGCTCACATGTGGTGGCTGAACCTCGCCGAGGTGCAAGGTCCTCCTAACCTCCGCTTCGGAACATGCTACATCCTCCTCCGATAATACTACAGGGCCGCCGACTCCACACCCCCACCTCCTCTCCCTCCTCCTCCTTCTCTTTATTTTTTGTTCAGCCGACCAGAATCCCTCGATCAAACGTGGGATCGTCCGCAAATCTCGCGACATTTGAGCCGTAATGACTTACATAATGAGGTTCAAAAGCTTGAATCGTGCCAGTGTACAGTGTACTAGGGGGAGAAGGTTGTTGAGTCCCGTTAAAATCGACCCGATGTCACGCCGGCGCCTGTAAGGCACCAGGAATCAGAAATTCGTCCATCCGTTCAACTACACCACAAATCAGGAATCCCTCCAGCTGTTCATCTACACCAGGAATAAAAATATCCGCGACAAGCATTCGCGGAACGCTTTCTCTTGAACCACCTGCTATTCTAAATCTAGGGTGCGGTCTGGGATCGCGTGCGGCTGGATCTCCGTCTCCGACTGGAAGACAAATTGTAGCCACAAGATGATAGGAGATGCCGAAAAGCGGGAATTGGTTTTCCTGGACCATACGACCCAGAATATGACATGGCCTTCAGAACAGACATACACACACGTGATCTGCCCAGCCAGACCTAGGCAGACCACACACACCAAAGGCGGCAGCGCGGCCGTCTCAACTCAAAGGTTCATAAGCGCTCAAACAGTAAAACACGGGCGCATGCGGGATCGCTTCCGCGTGCTCGCGGAAGTGATCTGCCCGCGGGCAACAAAAAAACTAAAACCCAATCGGAAGGCACGCGATTTGGGAGGCATCAACCCTGAAATTTTAGGGTTGAGGCTCCCGAACCGAATGGCATGCAGGTCGCAATGGGGAATAGTTTTTTTGTCCCGGACAGCTCGCTTCCGCCCATGGGCGCACCTGGTGGGTTCGAAACCCACCAGGAGAGGCACCTGGTGGGTTCGAGCCCACCAAGGCTCGGATGGACTCTGTTACGAGTGCAACGGAGTGAGCGAGCGAGGATTGCACTATCGAGACAAGATACAATGAGCGAAGAATTGAGCAAAGAATATATAGCGAAGCTACAGTGGTAACGGTAACGTGTGGAAAAATGAGGTGCGCGACGGGCCTGGTGCCGAGGTTGGGGAATGTCAAGGCGGAGGTCCGGAGCGCGGGTTACCAACCGAACCGTGAGGTTGGGTCGCATCGTGAACAGTGGCGGGAATGGGGTCGAGGCGAATGTCGCGAGTGGTAATGGATTATTGTGGGGTGCTGTTGGCGGGAACAGTGATGTACGCGCTGAGCAGGGGCGCGAAGTAAGGAAAATGATTTTTCCTTACACTACCCCCCCCCCCCCCCCCCCCCCCCCCCCCCCCCCCCTAAGGAGGCCTCCTTTACGAAAGCACATGTACATCCCGGAAATTCCGGCTGTGCAGATACTCGATGAGGACAGGGTTGTTTTCGATTCTGTCCAGGGGAACCCAATTGTCCTCGGTGGGCGTGCGGTCTCTCCAGCGGATCAGGAATTCGACCCTTTGAGCTCCTCGTGGTTCACGAACTCGGTGGCTCAGAATCTTCTCGGGCGTGATGACTGGCTCTGTCGGTGGTCGTGTCATGCTGGCTGGGCGATTTCGGGCCAGTTGGCTGGTGGATGGGATGTAGGGGCGAAGCAGGCTGACGTGGAAAGATGGGCTGACGTACCAATCAGCAGGGAGGAGGAGGTGGGCGGTGACAGGTGTGATCGTGTGGCTGATGCGAAATGGCCCGCAATATCGGGGGCGGAGTTTCGGGGTTATGGGCAGGCGGAGGTTTTGAGTGCCGAGTAAAACTAAGTCGTCGGGTTGGTAAGTGACAGGTCTGCGGTGGCAGTCGGCGTTGCGCTTAGCGATGACGTTGGCCTTTTTTATTGCCTCGGCTGCCCTGGTTCGTGCTGCCTGTAACATCTCTGCGAATTGTTGCGCACGTGGTACAGAGTTGTCGGGATTCGGGGTCATGGGTACTGTAGGGTCTTGTTCGTAGTTCAGGTAAAACGGTGACTGTTGGGTCGTGGCGGACGGCGAGTTGTTGTACGCGAATTCGATGAGTGGCAGTTGCTGTTCCCAAGTGGTCGGGTCGTCACACGTGGCTCGGATTAACAGTTCCATGGTCTGATTTGTCCGTTCTGCCTGTCCGTCGGTTTCAGGGTGGTACGAAGAGCTGAACTGCAGTCTCGTGCCGAACTGTTGCCACAGGTTCCGCCAGAAATTGGTGGTAAACTTCGTATCGCGCTCGCTGATGATTGCTGCTGGTATC